CCGCTCCGGGTCCAAACGGTCCAAACAGCCTCGGCGCTAGCACCGCCCAGAATACTGGAGCGGCTTCTGGTTTGTTGCCATGGGGACCGGAGCGCTGCGTCTACGGCGGCCGCCGAGACCCAAACTCCCTCTTCCCGCCTCTTTTCTTCCCGCGGGATCTTCTTTGACCCGGAGTTCTTAATCACCTTCTGCCGGGAAAGGATAGGAATAGCGAATCTCCGCCGCCACCCTCCTCCCAGATCGGCTCTTCTCCAGATGTTGGATGTTGGGGAGTCACCCCCGGTGCTGGGGCGCTACAAAGGGAGGAATGGAGAGAGTGCCAACTTGAAACCTCGCCGGGCCCCTGAGCCTCGCTGGGTCCGTTTCCTCATGGGAGCCTCACCCTGACAGTGCCAGAACGAAGGCCGCTTGTTCACTGTGTACAATCATCACTGTTTTCTTTCTTTCTTTCTTTCTTTCTTTCTTTCTTTCTTTCTTTCTTCTTGTTTTGTTTTTTTGAGGCAGGGTCTCACTATGTAGTCGAGACTGACCTGGAACTCACTATGTAGCCCAGGCTAGTCTGGAACTCACAGCGATCCTCCTGCCTCAGCCTCCAAAGTGCTGGGACTACAGGCATGCGCCCTCACGCCCGGCTAGAATCATCACTATTTTCCAACCTGACCTCACTTCATTTTCGCTCCTTTTTCCAGCTTTCTCATCACTGTCAGGGTGACTTCCTACCGCCCCCATCGGATCTTGTTCCTTTTCCACTTTAAACTCTCCACCGGCTTCCCGCTGACTCCTGGCTGGAGCGATGCTTTAGCAGACTGTCAACACTGTCTGCCCCTGCCCCATCCACCTCCCACGTTTTCAGTCACAACTCTCAGGCAGGTGCCAGCACTTATGTGGGCTCCAGCGCTCAGCAAGAGGCGCCCTCCCTGCCCTTGCTCCTCCTCCTGCAGGAGGAACCAGGTGACACACACACAGACAACGGTCTGTGTGCAACAGTTCCAGGCTCCTTCGCCAGGGCACAGGGTCCGCAGCTCTGCAGCTCTGCGCGTGCTGTTCCCTCTTCTTGCCAACCCTGCTTCATCCCCGAAGCCTGAGCACAGACATGCTTCAGTGGGCTCTCACCGCCGACCTCATTGAGGTGGCTACACGTTCCCACAACCCCAGATGAGCCCCGTGCCCTAGGGCTCAACATAAGGTATCTGCCTTCGACCCGCTGCTGCTGCAGAGTTCTTGCGTCCCAGTTAGACTGCAAGTGCTGGGGGGGGGGGC